TATGAATAGTGTTGTATGAAATTCAATCTTGATTTTCGTTATTATGCATTTTTCAAAAATTATAGAAAATGAAACATGTCACTATTAAGGAGTCATTTTGAGTAAATGCAAAACATACCAAATGTATCTTTGCTAAAACTCTTTAAATTGGTGTAAAAATTTCAAAGTAGTAAAATTGTATATTAAAAATAATACCAGAAAAAAAAATTAGCATATTTACCAAAGAAATAGACGACAATTGCATCGAAAATTAATTGAACCACAAGATTAACAAATTCTAGTAAAGTTGGCTCTTTTGGATAAATAATAAGAGGTCGAAAGGCATAGAAAAAGGGTTGCAAACAAACCCAACAGAATTTACCAAACGTTGTACAAAACAACTTTGCCTCAAGATATGTTGGAATATCGGTATCTTTTTTCTCGTCCCCCTGATACTGAAAAAAAAAATAGAACAAATTAAAAAAATATCCTTATGTAACTACATACGTATTTATCTTTATTAAAACATCTTACAATAAAAGTATGACAGCAAGCAAGCACTGGGAGAATTATAATTAATGATAATTTCCAAAATACTTTAGGTGAAATATACTTTTTGTCCAGTGATTATGCAACTTTGCAAATAGACTTTCTTTTTTTTTCTGCTTTGGTTTTATTGCTATATATGAGATCTATTATTGTTTCCTACATTTTTTTAAATCATAATAGCATTCGTTTCTATATCATACATGGTTGTGTTATTAAAGATTTCATAAGAGATTGTTACTTATAATGTGTATCATGTATAGGAATGAATTTTATAAATTTTATTTACAATCATGCTTTTATTCATTTTATAAATCACTCATTTGTGTAAATCTATTGGTCATACTCTAACCATTTCACTTAGTTACTCAATAGCATGGTAAAAATACGATAGATTTAAATGCTTCATTAATGATCAGTTTCTAGTTTTAGGGAAATGCGAAGATTAGCTCAGGATAGGAAAGAGTGGAGGTGCGTGCCCAAACCAGTCTTAAGACTAACGACCTTAAGATGATGATGATGCACATATATCTGAAGCTAAACGAGAAATAAGTGTCGTACATCACATGTAGTAACATATTACGTTCCATCCATTCAGTGGTAAGACGCATTCTATAAGCAATAGCATGCCAGTACTACTGCACCTTACAACTGTGTAAGAGTTGCGCTGTAAATACAATTTAACAAGTAGATACCTTCGTCCATGTTAAACATTTCCACAGTTAACAATACTATCAGTAGATGGCGATATTGTTTTCAACTTGAAAACATTTACTCCTTATTGGTAATTTGTTTTTTACTTTTTTTTTTACTGGTACTATTTAAGAATTAAAGATTTTATTATTATATAAAACTGAAATATCGATTCACATTTCCTCCGTTACTAAATATGTTAAAGAAAATAAAAATCTTTACAAAACACTTTTAAATTGTAAAGAACAATTATAGTACATTCGTTTAAGTAAATTTATGTTTTTATATATTGTTTAAATTTACTTGTACAGTAGATTTTCAGTCATGTCTTCAATCTACAATCACCAATGAAAGTTGCGTCATAAAAGCAAGTTGATATAATTATATCGCCATCTGGTGATATTTGCTGCTAACTGTAGTATTGCTGATTTTTAGCAACTGCCTTACGAAAGTTACCCACTTGTCAAACTCAATCTGCGACGCACCTTATGTATGTGATATTCCACGGACTTAAGTTCTTTATTAATATGATTATGTGCCTATCAGTATGTATTATACACAAAGCAAAGCAAGCATTAAACGTAGGGTGATTCTTTACAAGCATTTCAAATGAAATATTGGTAGTCCCCTAAAACTATCCACCGATAGGACTGATGGCGGCCAGATCGAGAACGAGATTCAGAACTTACTACCCATACCATTGCTTCTTTGGTACGCTGACAGACTGACAAATAATTACGATAAAAGAAATAATTCTACTAAAAATAAGAAAATAAATATTACTTCTAATAAAAATAATAAACTAAGGTAAATAGGTAAATTCTTAGACAATACCTTATAAGGGACTCAAATAGAATATCATGCTGTGCTAAACAACACTCCAGTCTGTTATAAAACGCTTGCAAGTGTTCAACATTTCAAATAAAATATTGTTTAGTGCTTCAACCATCTTTCCAAAAAACCTTTGTTTTTTTTTTCCGATTATATGAACGCATATAAACAAGGAGTGCCTAATTTTTAAAAAAGTTATGAGAAATAAACTTTAATATATTTATGCATAGATGCGTCAAAAATCTGAACTAAAATTGTACAGAGAAGAATAGAAAAAAGGCGGAAGAAATATTAGATCAATTTGGGTTTAGAAGAAACAGAGGAACGCGGAAGGCCATTCTAGCTTTACGGGTAACAATAGAGAAAACGATAGAAAAAGTAAAGAGTGAGTATATAGGATTTGTAGATTTAGAAAAAGTTTTTAACAATATTAAATGAGACAAGATGGTGAATATACTAAAATGTAGGGATGAGTTACAGAGATATAAGAGTAATACTTAGTTTGCATAAAAAGCAACAGGTAGTTATAGAGCTGGAGTTGAACGTAGAAAAGTAAATATTAGGAACGGGGTCGGACAAGGATGCACACTCTCACCGCTACTTTTTAATCTCTACATCGAAGACGCATTCAACATCATTAAAGATAATACAACTGTAGGAATAGATATAGAGGGACAAAAAATTAATATGCTTAGATTTACAGATGATATAGCAGTATTAGCATCTAGCAAGGATGACTTAGAGATAGCTTTAAATAAAATGGAAGCAGTATTGACAAAACAACATTGTATGAAAATAAATAAAAGTAAAACAAAAATACTGGTATGCAAGGGAAGAAAAATTACGGAAAGAGCGAATATAAAGATAGAAGACGAAAAATTAGAAAAAGTTGGTAATTTTCGGTATGGTCAAATAAGTCAGGACGGAAGGAGTAGTAGGGATATAAACCAGAGGATAGGGATTGTCGAGTCACCTTTAATAAAAAGAAGTCACTTCTATGCTCGGAAATGGTTTAGAAATTCGAAAAAGACTGTTAAAGGTGTATGTTTGGGCAAAGAAATGGTTAGAAGCGTTCGAAATGTGGTGTTACAGGCGAATGATAAAGATATCGAGGATAGAGAAGGTTAGAAATGAAGAGGTATTAGAAAGAATAAGAGAACAGGGGACTCTGTGGAAGTCAATAATAAATAGGCGAGAGAAGTTAGCAGAGACATAGAGGCAGAAACAGGGCTTAAACGGAGTAAGGTCGACCTAGATTTGATTACTGTTCGCAAATAGTTAAGTATGCGGGTTGTTCTAGTTTTAGGGAAATTCGAAGATTAGCTCAGGATAGGAAAGAGTGGAGGTGCGTGCCCAAACCAGTCTTAAGACTAACGACCTTAAGATGATGATGATGCACATATATCTGAAGCTAAACGAGAAATAAGTGTCGTACATCACATGTAGTAACATATTACGTTCCATCCATTCAGTGGTAAGACGCATTCTATAAGCAATAGCATGCCAGTACTACTGCACCTTACAACTGTGTAAGAGTTGCGCTGTAAATACAATTTAACAAGTAGATACCTTCGTCCATGTTAAACATTTCCACAGTTAACAATACTATCAGTAGATGGCGATATTGTTTTCAACTTGAAAACATTTACTCCTTATTGGTAATTTGTTTTTTACTTTTTTTTTTACTGGTACTATTTAAGAATTAAAGATTTTATTATTATATANATGATTAATGACTCCACCAAAACAGTATGCCACAAGAAGTGTTATGGGCCATGATTTATCTTTCATTACAAAAAGCATTGCAATTTGTGTTAAAACCATCCCTGTTACTACCCATTTAAAATTTGGATCATATCCAAATAACTTCTTAATTTGTGGATATTTTTCTGAAATAACACAATTGCAAAAATTAAAGTAACTTATTAATGACTAATACATCATGTGGAAAGGCCTCTGGATTTACGTTTAATGCGAGCATATGGTCCTACATCCGGATCCATAATGAAATCATACAGCACAGCAGTCCAAGAATCGTGTTGAGGTAAATCATCGTAAAATTCAGGAGCAATTTTCTTCACCTGAACATCAAAATTTGAATTTAAAACAAATTAAGCTGTTAATGGAACAATTTTCAAATTTACTAATGGTTTTGAAGTTAAAATACATGAAACGAATACTAATGTAATAAATGAATATTTGTGCTCAATTATTCTTAAATGATAAAACTAAAAATATAAATTTCAACCTAAAACTATCATTTATATGTATTTACTTTTAATAAAAACTACTAATAATAAGCCAATCAGTAATCACTTACTTCTGGTAACTTAGATCCTGGTACGGCTGGAAAATCATGATGTTCATTATGATAACCGACATTAAACGTTATCCAGTTCAAAGGTCCATAATAACTATATGTCTCGTAACCTTTTTTAAACATGTAATGTTCAGATATGAAATGACCAGCCACGGGGTGAAGACCCATCGCTAGTAGCGAACCAAGGCACAAATATGCTAAAACACGTCCACCTAACAAAAAGAAAGGCTTTATTAAAACAATCAAATAGCATTTTCAGCGAGCAATACTGACTTAAAAACATATTATTCAACAGGATAGTTATGTTGAAGCTTCTCAAATAGGTCTAAACAACTGCAAAAATAGAGCTGTATTTCGTACATCGTTAAGGACTAACTAAACGTTCAAACAGATTGTTAAATGTTGCATTGGGATTACGATAGCTAGCGTTTATTAACCAACTAGATAGTGCTATGAATTACTTAAACGCAATAAAAAGAAAATGTTTCAGGATTTACGCAGATAACGCAACTAATAGCATAACTGCCACCCACAAATTACGTCACACAAATTTCATGATTTTTGGAGCCCCCCTCGCTCTTATTACAGGTAGTCACATTTGTATGACCCCTTCCCGTTGCGTGCTATTATATATTTTTTAAATGTCAATCCCAATTTTAATAAATAACACTAAAAGTGAAAAATATTTAATATAATTTTATGAATAGTGTTGTATGAAATTCAATCTTAATTTTCGTTATTATGCATTTTTCAAAAATTATAGAAAATGAAACATGTCACTATTAAGGAGTCATTTTGAGTAAATGCAAAACATACCAAATGTATCTTTGCTAAAACTCTTTAAATTGGTGTAAAAATTTCAAAGTAGTAAAATTGTATATTAAAAATAATACCAGAAAAAAAAATTAGCATATTTACCAAAGAAATAGACGACAATTGCATCGAAAATTAATTGAACCACAAGATTAACAAATTCTAGTAAAGTTGGCTCTTTTGGATAAATAATAAGAGGTCGAAAGGCATAGAAAAAGGGTTGCAAACAAACCCAACAGAATTTACCAAACGTTGTACAAAACAACTTTGCCTCAAGATATGTTGGAATATCGGTATCTTTTTTCTCGTCCCCCTGATACTGAAAAAAAAAATAGAACAAATTAAAAAAATATCCTTATGTAACTACATACGTATTTATCTTTATTAAAACATCTTACAATAAAAGTATGACAGCAAGCAAGCACTGGGAGAATTATAATTAATGATAATTTCCAAAATACTTTAGGTGAAATATACTTTTTGTCCAGTGATTATGCAACTTTGCAAATAGACTTTCTTTTTTTTTCTGCTTTGGTTTTATTGCTATATATGAGATCTATTATTGTTTCCTACATTTTTTTAAATCATAATAGCATTCGTTTCTATATCATACATGGTTGTGTTATTAAAGATTTCATAAGAGATTGTTACTTATAATGTGTATCATGTATAGGAATGAATTTTATAAATTTTATTTACAATCATGCTTTTATTCATTTTATAAATCACTCATTTGTGTAAATCTATTGGTCATACTCTAACCATTTCACTTAGTTACTCAATAGCATGGTAAAAATACGATAGATTTAAATGCTTCATTAATGATCAGTGAACCATTTTATTTGACAATAAATTAGTCAATCAAACAATAATTAAACAATTACTATTAAGAAAAGTACTCCTTAAAAATTACTGAATTATGAATGTATAAAAAAGCTATAAATAAGCTACTAATTACCTAACCATTGATTATCAACTATTACGTATCTATCGCTATTATTTTAATAAAAAAATTAAACAAGTGAACTTACCCTATGATGTTCCAAATGGTATTTTTTAAAGCTAATTGAAAAAGGAAATCCAATAGGCAAATTGGCAAACATTCCAAATAATTTGTTAGCCAAAGGCCTAGCATGCCCAAATGCGAGATTATGTGAAATTTCATGGACAGCTGTAAAGAATTCCTCATAATAATACTAATAATACATAAACATACAAAGTACTGCAAAATGTTATGTTACCTAACATTAGTGAATGATTAATGACTCCACCAAAACAGTATGCCACAAGAAGTGTTATGGGCCATGATTTATCTTTCATTACAAAAAGCATTGCAATTTGTGTTAAAACCATCCCTGTTACTACCCATTTAAAATTTGGATCATATCCAAATAACTTCTTAATTTGTGGATATTTTTCTGAAATAACACAATTGCAAAAATTAAAGTAACTTATTAATGAGATTAAATTACTAACCTAAAATAATTTTTCTTCGTGTAGCGTGTGGTTCTTCCGTGTAAGACCATTCAAAATCGGTTCTTGTTACGTGTTGGCCCATATTTGCTAAGTTTCTAATAACTATATACTAATATTGTTATCACAAAAACTATATTTTATAAAGCCGGTAATTTCACGTCATAGAGAATTAAAATATTCCGTTAGTCCCACGGAAGTTATTTTTTAATAAACAGAAAAGGCACGTACGATTGTTTCGCACTCGCACTGCTTATTATTCACTGGTTACAAGTATAAAGCGAAGTTAAATTATTAATATATATTAATTGACTATTTTTAACTTAATTTACTTTCTGGTCTCATGACATGATACATATTACGTCATTTGCGGCTGGCCAAGCTGACAAACTATGAAACTGACGAAACTCCATAGTGAAATTAACGAACACATCCACACAATACACACACATTATCGATGTACACCATTGAACTATGTACACACACGTAACTTGTCTATGCACAAAATTGTTATATGAGATCCATAAAATAGAATGTGTCTAATTATAATACCTGTGTAATAAATAAACTCTTTAAATCAAAATTAAAAATCACCAGCCACGATTGTGTATTTACAATTAAATCTTTTTTGAAATTCAAATTTTTTTCTGTACCTATTGTCACATGTATGTAAGCAATCGAGATTTCTAGACGGCATATACTGGAACATTCTGGAACACGGCCAGCCTCTATAAATAGTTGTCTGGGGATCGAGTACAAGTCTTGACCAAAAATTCTTTGTGGCATGGAAAGCCACATCAAGGACTCCATCAGGATGTATCCCAACTCTGTGGGGGACTTCCGCCGCCTATCTCCTCTCCAAAAAAGACCCAGCTCGTTCCTGCGCTCACTACAAAGAAAGTAAGCGTGCGACCTATCGCGGTTGCCCCAAATTTCCACGCATAACCTACGTCCCAAAAAAGACCACCATCACTCCGGCTGCTTCAAAGAGTGCTCAACCAACCACCCGTTCTCCTCTTGCCACCGTAAAGTCTTACACCAGGGTCGTGAGAGCAATCCCCACCCACAAACCTGGAATGACAGAGGTAAATTGACTGGACTCGGACACTTCCTGGAGGAAAAGTCAATCGGTGTTGCCTGCATCACCGAAACTGTCTTATCTCACCAAATCAATCTTTACGTCCCAAATTTCAGAGTCTACAGAAGAGATCATGAAAACTCCAGCGGTGGCGGCGTAGCCATTCTCGTTAGGAATTCTATTAAACACAAGTCTATCTCTTTGGCTACCGACTCTTTAAAAGCAATTGGCATTGAAATCTCTTCAACATTCGGCCCCGTCAGAATCATTTCGTTATACTCTTCTCCGAACGAAGAGGATCTTTCACACTTCCCCCCTCTACTCTCACCAAACGTCTCGACCATCGTCACAGGCGATCTTAATGCCACACACGTCTCCTGGGGCTGCTGACATAATAATAAAAAAGGTATTTCCCTTCTTGTCAACTCTCTTGGCTTCGATTTCACAATTGAAACTCCCCCAGATCCCACGCACTTTCCGGAATGTCACAATTACCTTTCAGATATCCTCGACAATGTTTATCTCCTTAAGAGGAAAAACTCGACCCCCCGTCTGCGGCAACGGCACTGTGATTCCGCACATCGTGCTGAACTAAACGCCCTTCAACAAGAACTTAAAGCTCGCCTCACCGAATTCCGCAGCGCATCCTTCAACGATTATATCGCTCAGGCAGAAATACACCCCCGAAGCACTTGGAAACTCCGAAACAGAGCTACCATCTCCCTTCACTAAAACAAAACGGCTCCACCTATTCTTCAGACGAAGACAATGGAAACTTTCCATTAACGAGATCAAATCGGAAGCAATTTTCTTCTCACGTAGGATCCAAAAACCTCTCTCCATCATCGTAAACAACCGCCCAGCAAATGGAGTAACTCCGTCACATACCTAGGCGTCATCTTCGACAGAGTCCTAACCCGGCAGCGTCACATCTCAGCCACTCTTAACAAGGCCATGGGTGCATTCGTTGTACTCAAGCCTTTCTTCCTAAACAACTCCATCTCCCAACAAACAAAAATCCATGTGTCCATAATCCATCAGGAGCATTTGCTTCTACGCCATTCCCGTCTGCGGCTACGCCCTTCCCCACCGTATGAAACTTCTGCATGGCATCTACATGCGGATCCTTCGTTTTGCACTAAACTACCCCTGATTCGTCAGAAACACCCAAATTCTGAAAGAAACCGGTTTACCTTCTCTCCCTGAGGCTGCAATCTCATCTCGCAAACCCCACCATTTCGACACTCTCCAATTTCGCCCCAAAACCAAACAACCGTTTCCGAAGGCCCTGTCACCTTCTACAACGACAACGGTAAAAAACCGACACTACCTCCCTTCAGGAGGTGTCTTTTGAAGATTCCCCCTCCTCGAGAATAATCTACACAAAAAAAATCGAGTAGGTACTAGTAGTAGAAGAACGAGTTCGAGGCAATACAAAGGAAACAAGAAAAAGGGAAGAAGTGAACGCTTTTATAGAGTGGTGGATTGAGAACTAATTAATAATAGAAGTGTTATTTAGACAGCAATTAGCTAAATAAAAGTAGTAATGGTGCGAGAAGACGTTTAAATACTTGACATTTGGATTAGGTGTTGTGTAAGGAGTAACCCTTTCAGCGTTACGTCTTTCAACTTCCTGTAGTCTATACAAAATTTCACGGAATCATCCTTCTCGCGTATCAGTGCTATAGGGGAAGCTCAAGAACTTTGAGATGATTCTATTAGCCCTTGCTTATGCATGTCTTTTACAAGATTATTGACTTCCCCTTGCGACGCACTGATGAGATCTAAAAAAATCGAAATCGCGATCCGCGTCTGGCAGTTTCGACAGAATACAGACCACTTCGAATTATTTTATTCGATTATGGTAGCGTGCCTATCACGTTGAGAGGTTAGCTACGCCGAGATTCGTTTTAGCAAGTAGATATCCATATATTTAAATGGACCTTGTTGGGCATACGTAATCCTAAAATGTAGCATCGTAGTACAGATGGCGTTTACCGCGCCATTTGTGATGTTTTCTAAAACGCGCTGTTAAGACAGCAGGTAAAAGTTGGTCTGTGTTTTCGTAGCAATCCGCGACGCGGTGGTGAGATCTGGAGAGATCTCGAAATCGCATCCCGCGTCCGGCAGTTTTGATTAGATATCTTAAGAAAAGAAATAAAAAATAGATGTACGTTCTACAAATTTACTGGTTTTATTTTTAAATGTGAATGATTGTATGATTCAGTGATTCACAATAAATGCACCGTGGGCTGCCTGGGTTCGATTTCCAGCTAATGCAAACCAATTTATTCTCGTGTTGTAAAATAAATTCGTCGGTTATCAATCGCACTCTTTCACTAGTTTTTATTAACGATTTATTCACAAAAATGTTATGCTACTTTATTATTCAGCAACAAATAGGATTAGAACATAAGAAGAAAGTATTACAGTAGCAAACATTTATTTATACTTTTCATCATATTAGTACGTTTTATTTTTTTTTATTAAATGCATTTTATTGAAATGTAGATACATCAATATGATTTCAAGAAACTATGAAACTACTTAATTACATTACATTGTATTTATGAAGGTATATAAATAAAAGTGTTTATATTATAATGTGTATCCAATACATTAACGACATAATGTTGCGTCAATTTGAACAAGCCATGGAATGAGAAGCTTCAATTTCCTTCTATAAGCTGGATCAGCTGCAATGGGATTTCTTTCCAAATATATTGTTTGAAGTTTCTTATTCTCCTTTAAATTCTCAATTGATTTCCAATCTGCAATTTCATTATCATTAAGCCAAAATTCTTCTAAATCTGACAAATGACCCACATTTTCTATCAGTAAAATTTTATTTTTTGCCAAGTCTAAAGTTTGTATTGATGTATTATTATCTATATTCTCAATTCTGGTTAAACCATTTTCAGATAAATATAATTGCGTTACATTTTTCAAATTTGTAAGATTCTTTATTTCAGTTAAACGATTACTTTGAAGACTAAGACAAGTCAAACTGATAAGAGAATCCAGATTATTGATTTCTGATATTTTATTTTTTCCTAGATAAAGTTGGTCCAAATTTGCCAAGCCATTCAGATTTTCTATATGTCTTATTTTATTATCACCTAATTCTAACATCTCCAGTTGTTGAAGATGGGTCAGATTTTCAATTTTACTTATTTTGTTGGATGTTAAAAATAATCTTTTTAATTTTAATAAATTGTCTAAACCCTCTATTCTCTTGATTCGATTAAAAGATAAATCTAATATTTCAAGATTAACTAGGGCATCTAAATTTTCAATGACTGTTATTTGATTATCATATAGCTCCAATTCCACAAGAGTAGTCAATGTATTCAAATTTTCTATTTTCTTTATCAAATTCCAACGTAAATATAATCGTTCGATTTGTGTAAGAGGTTCTAAATTTTCCAATTTAGCAATTCTGCCATGATTTAAATCTAATTCATAAGTATCTGGGTCCACTATTGTTATCTCATTAATTGTTAAATCTTCTTTGGGTTCTGAATTCTCTGGGACATTTTCTGCTTTCTCGCTTTTTTCATACTCTTGTTTCTCCATTTCAAAAGTCCCTTCCACTTGATTCATTATAAAGATAATTGAAACGGTAATTGTACCTCTCCTAAAGCAGTAAAGCACAGTTTAGTTTTCTTCTTTAAAAAAAATATGAAAATTTCATTCGTGCCTTTTTTTGAATTACTGCATGCAGTGTGGTGAGACGTTTCTAACGATGAATATGTAAATTCGAAGAGTAAATTGTAAAACTACTCAAACCCTGTATTGACAATACCGACACGTCGTTTACCAAAACTTAAAGCAGTTAACCTCTTTTAGTTGTGTGACGTTTAAATGTTTTGACAAGTGGGAGTGTCTCCTGTGCAGTTCGACGTATTATTAAACTTTTTATAAAAGAAAGGTAGCAGTTAATAAATTTATTATTATATATTCCTATTCGCACATTATAATTATTAAATTTAAAGATATTTAAAATATACTCAAAACAATTACATAGCCTTGCATAAAATTTACAAAAAAGTAAAACCGCTACATTGGTTGTAAATTTGTAATTCTGGCTAGGTTGGGTTTGCTTCATTATCTACTGAAGATATTTTGAAGATTAACAATATATGGCAACACCGGTCTTTGTCTTTTTAATTTTATATAAAAAATGCCAAGTCGCAACGTGTAAAAAAATATCAAACAACTTTTATTAAAGTAATTTTAAAATATATTATATTAAGACTTAATTTTCTATTTTTTCCTTGTAAGAAATTATGCCTTTCTCTAGTAAATCTGGTATTTCTACTGCCAACCATGGTCCCAACTAGAAATAAGTATTAATAACGTGAAAGAAAGCATATTCATTAATTATATACTTACTCCCAGAGCCATGACATGTGCAATACCAAATTTTGGAACATTTCTTGCCCACAAAGGTTTAAAATGGTCTGAAAGGCAAATTTTTCCTCCTCGATACATTTTTGCTGTTTTTCCATCAAGTTCTGGTAAGGCTATTTCTGGTGCAGTTACTGGATATGTAACAGGAATCTGAAAGTTCAATCATGCAGGAAAAATTTTCAAACTAAAGACTACAACTATGAAATAATATACTTACATCAAATTCAACATCAAATTCGTACTTCAATAAATTATGTACATACCAACATTTACCAAACCATTTGGTACCTTCTTTATTCGATTCTAGCCTAAACCAATCATTATCTGCTTCCTTATTATTTTGTACATACTAAAAAAGTAACATATGTTTGGTTTCACTGAAGTCAGTACATTTGAGACGTACCTTAATTAACGACTGATATTCTTCCTTTAATCGTTGAACCCATAGTTCTTTATCTCTCGGACCAGCTTTTGTTTTGAGTAAGGGAATATTACTTAAAGTTTTACGAGTACTTTCGTCAACCATCTTAATTTAGGTTAAGTTCATCAGCTGGTTGTCAGCATGTTGTCAGTTACAGCTGGTTACAGCTGACAGGTAATTCCAACGTAAGAAAATTAGAGTAAAAGAATCAAGCAGAACAGATGTTTAAAATTTTCTGGAAATTTGAATGTATACAATTTTTAAAATACTTTGGCAAGAACTATTGTAATCAAAATTTTATTAGTTTTATCTGAAAGAGAACACAATATTAGGTAAAATAGTTTATATTTTTTAAGAAATAAATATTTTCAAATTTTTCGTAAAGGTTGGCATTACAGTAAAATTTTTAAGAATTTCACCTGATTTCGTCCACATACGTATATTTATAGTGAATGGAAGTGAATTGCAACAGATTTCAATACGATAAATTAGTTTATTCTGATTTTATTTAAACCTTAAAAAAGTAAGTGATGTTAAGCGTAATTTTGTATTCCAATGGCTGATACTTATTGCGGATTAGGAGCACAAATAAATGTAAGTATTTTGCTTGTCTGATAATGTCGCTTTTATTTTTACAGTCCAAGAGGCCATTTACCTACACTATTAATGATAACATTAAAAAAGAAAAATAAATTATTTCGTGTAACTCGACTTAGTATTTCTATATTACTATATCTTTAGATAAAACAGCTTTGTTTTATATATTTAATAAAGTTTAAGGTTAGGTTGTATTGCAGTTTATTTTACATTGGTGATTTTTAATAACTAATATTTTCTGTGAATTTTAGAATGACGACGCCGTAGCTTTACCTGACGATGACTTAGACTGTATTGAAAGTGATGAAGACTATGATGCGTTAAATGATGAGACTTTTGGAGCTCTAGAAGATTCGTCTACTTTGGATGATTGGGAACAACAACATGAGAACTTTGCTAAACTTGCAGAAAGTCGAAAGCATTCGGATCAAATTGGTTTGTTTTAATTTTAGAAAACATAAGTATTATTTAGAAAATGTGTATTTTGTTTTAGAGGACTCTTTAAACAAATTAGTTCTCGATGGCACAGAAGATATTAACTCATTAAACAAGAAATCAATTTGGTCATTTGAAGGTTCAAGAAATGGAGAAAATGTATTGACTATTTTCTCTAGCTTAAATAAAAACTATGTGAGTTATTTAGGAATATTAAAGTTAGACCAAAGAGATAAATTTTATGTTTTTTTAGATTGACTCAAAGAAAGATACTGAATCTGATCTTCTTAATTGTTCTCTAAATAATATTCGGCCACCCCCTGGGATAATATCTCAGGTTCCTAAAAAAGTTATTAGTGTTGAAGAACTTGAACGTGGACTAATAAAAAATAATGCGAAACTATCACAATCATCTACATCAGTACATCCCCCATTGCCTTTTCCTCCACAACACTCGCAGCTTCCCCGCCCTTCTCATCTCCCGCATTCACCCCATCAAAATGGACCTATTTTTCAACATCCTATGCTTCAGGTAGGGACAATACTACATTAAAAAAAAATATATCTACAAAGGAATAATACTTATACTTAAGATTTGTGGCGTTTCTTTTTAGCACAATATGCCTCCTAGACCTCCACCTGGTTTACCACATCATCCACACATGCCGTTGATGCCACCACGACACCCAAATGTGCCACCCAACCCTCTTATGCATATGGTGCCTCCCATTCCTCCACATTTTATGCAAGGAAATCAAATTGCTCCACCTGGAATGATGTATCCTGGAGGCTCTCAATTTCCTGTAAGTAATTTTTGTAAATAACAAATACAAAATGTTCCAATATGAGTTTAGGATAAAAATATATAAAGAATTTATTTTAAGAGGGACATCTAATCTTTTGTATCCCATGCATTACTGAAATAGGTAATAATGTAAGTTAGTGAATACTTCTTTTAAAATTTTCAAAAATGTTTTAATTGAAGAAATAGTTTAAATCAATAACTTTAAGAGGACTTAGGTATTTTCCTTGGTCCCTTTTGTATTTTTCTCCAGAGATTGTAATAGAGTACACCATAATGGAGTTATTTATGCTATAATTGTGTTTTAATTTGATTTATTAAATAACCACTATGTTCATTTTAAAACTCTCCTGTAGCTCGTTTTATCTTAAAATTTTATTGTTATATGGTTTTTAATGAATGTTGCACCCAAAGGCACGGTTTAGCATTATGCAAGAATTCGGGTCCATTTCGGGCTCCTCCTGCACTGGTCCAGTTTGTTTTTGTGTTTTCCTCAGATTAATTAGGCGAATAAAGCTACGGCGGAAGTAATATTCATTCACTTCTCTTCTGACTTCATCTAGCATGTATCATCTATCTCCCCAATCATTACCTACCCATTCCTACGATTCCTTAAAAGAGGCTGATGGGGGTTTTTCCGTTTAGCCTCTAGCTTTAAACAAGAGTGTAGATGGAGGGGACGGCTCGCTCACCAGCATTACTAGCGGATGGGAATAAAATACGCAAAAGTTTTTTTTTAATTAATGTTAGATTTACATAAATATTTTCTGTTTAGGTTAATCATCCTTATAATTTCCCGCCGCCTCCAAGAAACGTAAATTCCCTTGGTTATGGTCATCCTAACAGAAACCAAAACAATTACCAAAATTACTACCAAAACAATAGACAGGGGCGGATGGACCCTAACCATAATGTCAGACAAAGAAATTCTAAATCAATGATTAATAATATTAATAACAATGGTCATTATGGTAATATAGTCCAAGATGAATATGCAGGACTGATGAGCGGTAGAGAGAAGCAATGGCTTTTGAATATCCAAATGTTACAATTGAATACGGGAACACCCTACTTTGATGATTATTACTATACGGTGAGTTTTGTTTTTGTTTCTCTTAATGGACACAAGTTGAAACTATTTAATTAACATTTGAAATCCTAATTAAATAAATTAATTAACTGGATTTATTAACAAAGCCTTTTTAATTACTTTGTATTCACTTTCAATCTGCTTTTGCCCTATATTTGAAGTAGTAGTTAGTAGTTATAATATCATTTTTGAAAGTTACCCTTTTTAACGTAGATATTCAAGGAGAGAAAGGCGCGACAAAATAAAGAAAATCAACCGCTTGAGCAAATTCAAAGACACAGAAGAAATAGTGAACGACAAGACAGTCAAAACCATCTAACACCTAAAGTATATACGCCTTTGCAATTTGAAAATTCTTTGGGAAAGCTGCAGGTTAGTTGAAGCATTATAAACGACTGTCTGTTCATACATTTCCTGATATTATTTATAAAACATACCTAGGAGACCTACATACTAATTTTATGTTTGTCATAAAATACGTAATTTTATTTAGTTTTTCTTGATAATTAGAAAAAGTGGCATAAGTTATGACTTTTTGTACTTTTATAATCAGTGTGGCTCGGTCACGGCTCCACGTAAAATAATCGATATGGACGTTGTATCCATGGATAAAGAATCGGAAGTAGGATCAACAGTTTCGTCGCGAGACAGTCGTAAAACAAAGCAGCTCTTACTGGAACTTGAGGCACTGTATTCTCTCTTGTTGAAAGTGGAAGACTTGAGAAATCCTATGTATCATGCAAATATCGAGAAACTGGTCGAGTTGAAACAGAAACAAAGACTTCGAGAACTGGAAACTGCTTCCACTACAGAACAAAAGCAAGAAATCCTCAAACAACTTCAACAGGACAGCGTGATAACGACCGAGAATCAGCAAGAAGTGCTGACTAAAGTGGCGAATGGATTTTGTTTGGACGAAAAATTTTCCAGTTTTTTAGCTATTCGAAAAGGAAAAGTAAGTAACTGTTTTACCAAGCTTTAAATTATTAAACCCCTAATTATCCTATCTTGAGAAGGTAATAATAAAAATACAAGTATTAATAAATATAAACAGATACATTGTATAACTATATAACACGATTAGTGTAAACCCGTTTCATTAAATCTATCTTCCCCCCATCAACTAGGAAGTTATTTTTAATTATGTTGCAGTCTGAGGGGCGCGGGAAACAATTGCTGTCAGGTACAGATAGCGCAGTAAAAACAACAGGCAGTATGTACCAAAGTTGATTGGTAACAAAGAAAAAGTTCCCTAGATCATTCCTGATAACATTCTCTACATAGTAAAATGAAGATTCGGGCTATATAATCAACGCACCACTACCACTGAAGATGTCAGCCGCAGTAGCTGACGAAACGTCTGGACGGAACAGTTCACTTAGACCACGGCCCTATAGCCCGAATATTCATTCTACTATGGATTCCGGCCGTGAAAGCCTTTGTTCTTATATTCTCTTCATACCTATAAAGTCTCATCTAAGTCAATTCAGTTATTTCGAAAATTAGTCCATACAGAAGTCTAGCATAACATTCTTTTAAGGTTTTTTTTGTGCCTTAATGGCATACAAATAACCACATGAGCTTAAAAAGGGCATTTTTTTCGATATTACTGACAGACGCTTTTATTTTATTGATATGTATAGATGCATAGTCAATAGTAATTTTCAGTATTTTTTACATTGACCGTCTCTTTTGACAAATTTTGGCTACGCCACTGGCAAGCGCAAATTTCTGAAAGTACATATTTTATCTACAAAACAATTTGCACTACTGCAGTGTACTAATGTTAACTTATTAAATTATTTTATATTCAAAATTTTTGGATTTGCTTAATTTTTATACTTTATTATTTATCTACTGTGCAGTAAGTCGTAAGACATCTTTTATAAATATATAAATAAAACTAAAATCTTTTCTTTCAGATGTTGTTGTTAAGGCTATTGCCATACTTATCAGCTGATTTATTTACTACTCATCTATCAGACCTGTGGTTAAAGGTGCTTCTGAGCATACCGACAGTCGGTCGTAGAGATACGGCGGGTGACAACCTGCTTCCAAAGCTTTATCCGTATTTTAAGAAGTAATGCCCCAATACAAAATGAAAACCAATTTAATAAATGAACATTTTTTTGCAGGTATATTCAAACTTGTAATATGAGCAATATTTTGGATATCGTTACGAACTTAGTAGAATCTTTTAAACTGGACAACAGCAGAAGTACTCCCCTTAGTTATCAAGGAAAAACTCCCCTCAATTTTATAGTGGCTAATAAGGTGAATATTCTTGAAATTATTTTCTTCTGTTCTGATAGTGTGATCGATAGTACCCGATCGCCTTCTTAACATGATTTACTTCATTGTCATTGATATCATTTTTTTTTTTCACACCACAGTTCGGTGTTTCGGCTCTTTCGACTATGCTCGTTCGCATGGAGTACCTGTTGTCAACTAATGATGCGACTGAACGACAATTGTCTGACTGGCAAAATTTCGTGGAGGCGTGGTGTGATGCGGTCCCTTCGTTCTCTTCCTCATCCTCAAGTACCGTGGCTACACCTCTCGAATCCATACCTACGCCCGTATTTAACAAGCACTGTAATCGCATTGGCGAACTGCTGACTACATCCGTTAAATGTCAGCTGTTCCGCAAACATTTCGTAGACACCGAATAAATCCAATGACAAAATTATTTTTAAACAGAAATGAAAAAGAGAGACAAAAATGTAAAATAGACCAATAACGTAAAAGAAAGTGATCCAACAAGCGACGGCAGTTGTGATTTATTTTATAGGAGGATTGAGCAACTCTCCACCCACTGTTGACTTATTCGTTTCGATCGTGATTCGTTTGTTGTTTTGTTTTATTCCGTGTATTTTTCATACTTTTTAACGCAGCTTTTGTTGTTTTTAGGGAATACACATGAATTTTATAGTAGGTTGTTATAATCTTTTACTCAAATTTTTAATGTGTATTTATGCATGATGTTATTAAGGGAAATGCATTTGAGATGTGTAGGATAAGAGACATTTTACATATATATCTCACGACTTTCAATTGCTTTATTGATTATAGTATAAGTACGCTTAAAAATTGTATGTCTCAGTGGTAAGTTTTGAAGAATTGTAAAAACACCAAACATTTTTGTTATTTGCTGATATTTATTTTTCAGCAATTTTTATAATGCAAGAATAAGAATTTCGTTTTGTTTGACCTTAAATTATTTATTGTCTTGCTTAAATTGAACAAGGAATTTATTTTTAGTTTATAAAAATATTTTAAAGAATTTTTATTTGTGAACATTAAAAGAAAACTTGCAGTGATAATTCTTTGAAAAAGAATAAAATTTTCGTGTATATACGTACATGTATTTATTTTTTAATTAAATTATTGTGTACATTTTAGGAAAATATTTTAAGCTAGCAGTAACGACAATGGATCAAAATTTTATCTTTTTATAAAAAACGAATTTAAAATTATTAAACAAGAGCTGCGTCAAAAAAATACGTGTAAATATACATACATACATATACATATAATATCGAAATGAATAGGTCCAAAAAAGAAGTGTAGTGTTACAATACTTATTTAACAATAACAAAAGATAACATTTATTGGAAAAGTTTTGTTTTGCCTTTACCGTTTTGTTTTAAGTCTGAGTTTGGGCGCGAAATATTGATTGAAAAAGAGCCCCAAACCAGCGATCGAAGTTAAATTTTTGCCATTTCCCATTTAACATTTTTTTTATCTGCACGTATTTGATAAATGTTATTTTTAAACCGATTAGCAAAAACTTTAACCAATATTTAAAATAAAAAAATAAAACAAGAAGGAATAATACGACTTTCGGGTAGGTACAAATATATTTTTGTATTGTTTTAAGTTTTAAGTCGTTTTAGATCGAAATTTTTTGATGTATTTTTGATATTTGTTAGAGTGGTTCGAGATTTTATTGTTATTAGACAGTATATGATGCAAATAATTACGATTATTATTATTGCTTTTTTTGTACAATTCTATGACGATGGACGTGAAAGGTGTTAATTTGTCGAGGCATATTAAACCCTTTCTATCACGTAAAGACGAATTTTTGATATTTTTCTAGTTACTTGAACCGCGTAGATCGCCCGTCTACTCACTACTACTTTTAGTGCTCCATTTAAACTATCTATTATGCTTTTTTAAAATTTAGTGTAATAAAGTCCAATAAATGTATGTTACTTAGAATTTAAGTGTTTTATTTATTTGTTTACGAATAACGCTTTCAGTGACATTATGGCAGTGATGCGAGATTGTCTTAATAATTTATAGGTGCATTCTGTACTTTTTGAGTTAATATCGTCGCGTTGGCAGAACAGTTAATTAAATAGAGGCATTCAAAAAACAATTTGCACCACCAAATGACACCACTGGTGTTTATATGTAATAGTAGTCTCGAGTCTCCCGTTGTGCACTTTGATGGTTGCATGTCAGTACCGGTGAGGGTGTGGGGGTTACAATGGTTAAAAAAGATTGACCTACAGTATTTTAATATTTCCACTAAAGAGTTCTAAAATATGCTCGTAATATATGTTCGAAATTTCTCCAGCTTGATAGATTTGCGGGTTGACCAACAAACACCGCTTCTTTAAGGGAGAACCTACTAGAATGTTCTTTATTGTTCCTAGCTTGATCCTTGACTAGAATGTTCCTGAGTGTCTCTAAAATTTGGTAGAATAATGAAGTGGACCGAAAGGAACATGAAGCTGGAAAGAGTAGATTAAAGTAAATCAAATCAAATTTATGAATTGTGATCTGTATGTCTGAGACGTTCAAGCAACGGCTGAAGGACTATTTCCAAAAATTTAGAACTTGAAAATAAGTCGTTTTGGATGTTTCCGTTTTATTTTATATAAGTAAATTTAATACAAAGAAAAATTGATAAAGTATTTCATACTATGCTTATACCATACGCAGATCATCTTTTCTTCCTTGTTAGGAAGGAATAGAATTTGATGCTTTTGCGGAAATAGATAATCTGTGTGTTCATTACAGACGAGTCTCTTTTCTTGTTTAAATTTTTACTTTAATTTTTTCTCATTTAAATTCTAGAAAAGTCGTTTTAATCTGCGATGTCCTTCGCTTTTTCTCCCTTTGTTGAATACATACATACATGCATACATCACTTTTTTATTTTTCTTTTTGGAATAATAATTTTACTGGTTGATTCGGGTTTTGAAACAGAAATAATACATACCGTATACTTTGTGATGTACAATTAGTATTTTATGCTATTTAAATGTAATAAAATAGATCTGAGTATTTTCGCATAACGTTTAAGTATACTGAAATCATTATAATCATATTTAACAGTATGACTTTAAATAACTAGGGAAACGATTTATAAGAACTAATTTTAATATGTTCTGGATAAACATCTTTTTATGAATCAAATAATTACCTCTTTAAAGTTTTAAAATTAGAATATTAGATCACTTTCAAAACATTGTGATTCGCCCTCATTGGAGCAGCCCGTCCCCTTCCTCTTTTCAATTTTTTTGACAGAGATTGTTGGATGCAAAGGAAAAGGGAGAAGTGTGTTTGACAGATTAGGTGAAAATGTTATAACCAAAGAAGTTGTGAATAAATTGTGTGTTTTTGTGAAATATTAGTGAAAAAGTTGCCCAAGCATTGTAATATGTTAATATAAGACGTCGATGTTTGTTTACTTCAAGTGGAATGAATCCTTAACCTCGGTTCAAGTCAATATTTAAGAACGGTGGGTGCTTCTTGTAATCAGGGTAAATATTTAGGTTTTGTTTAGGCTGTTAAATAATGATGCTTATTAAGATTTTATAGTTTCGATACATTCTTTATTTTACAACTAGTAATTCTAGGACACAGTAAATCGATTTATTTGTTTTTGTAATATTAGTTTTGTTTTTATGTTCGACACGCTAAAATCGCCCATATGTATATGTCTGTTATTTTTCTTATTTGACATTGCATTAATTTGATAACCATTTTATTTCAGCTTCGATGAAATGAAGTGATTCTTATTTAATGCTTAATGTTTAACAACAGCTGATAAAGTCGTATTTATATGTGTAATTAATGTTTAATTTAAAATGTCAGTACAAGATGAGTCACTGTGACCTTTCTAAATATGTCCAATAATTTATTATATTTTAATTCGTCATATGTAACAAAAACAAGACTTTATTCTTTTTGTGGATATTCATGACTTAATTTTAATACATTTCATGTACAGAGTTAATTATAGACTTGTGTAATACTGTTTTATCTTCTTAATCTCTGTTATGTTAGAAACAACTGCAAAGAAAATAAGGCAATTAATAATTAAATGGAATATTGTCTTCCTCTGCAGTATTTCCCAGAAGCTATTTCTGCCAAGATTATATTCTCATGCATGTTTAGAAATATGCTCTGGTTAAGTGTAAATTAAATAGTAGATAATAATGCTAAAGGCTTCCCCACAACATAACAGTACTGAAATTTTTTGTAGTTAATAGACACGTATATTTTTTCAATTTTTTTTATTTATAAAATTTATTTTTTCTTTCAGATATTCACTAATAATGGCAAGATTAAAAAGTGACTCGATTTTAATTCTTTTAACGTAAAAAATGTAATATATTATAGGTACAACACCTGTCAGAAATACGTACATATAAGAGAGTGATAAAATTATATTTTAAATAATGTAAAAATTCTAAAATGCATTGAAAGCAAACAAGCAGGGTTCCATAATTGTGCAAATGAAGGAAAAATATAAATAATTAAAGGAAATCTGTTAACAAAGCGTCCTTTTGACAAATAAACTAAAGCTTTTTGAATTTAAAACAGTAACCTATTTTTGTATATTTATTTACTGGCATCTGTTAAAAGAAGTGATTTAAAAAATAGCTAATAAGATTCCAATGCAAAACTGTTGTTAGAATTGTTAGGAGGCACTAATATGAATAATCATAAAAGAAGATTCAGCAGTAAAATAAAATATTAATTATGGCCTCTTATGAAGATAAGAAAAAATTTTACTGTCGTGAATGGGCATTTCAGAAATTGGCTCATTGCCTTGATCAACGGCCCATCTCGAAGACATGCGGGGCCTTATTGTTAGGTGGTCCAGGATGTGGAAAAACAACTTTTTGTTCGGAAATTTGCTGGCCGTCACAAGGACCTGCAGGTCGTCAACAACGAGCCCTAAATCGAAGACTTCTTTGTCATCATTTTCTAGCAGGTCACAACGAAAAGAGTTTATCACTTAGCGAATTTGTACGATCATTAGTTACTCAAATACTGAATCATTCGACAGAAAGTCAAAGAGAACGAAGTATGCGTAGAAAAATGGCCCAACAAAAGGCCAAATTGGAGGAGAGTCCAAAAGATGGAAGTACTAAAAGTACGAACAGCAAAGATGGTAAGGAAGTTAGTTTAAACGTCCATGAAAGTACTTTGTACTGCAATGTATATCCTGAACCTGCATCTCCAAATAATGAGTGCAAACGTATTATTGATAATACACCTCCAATACCAAACTTACCAGTGAATCCCAGAACAATGATAGCAGATGCGTATTTGGAAAAGCTAAAATCGGATTCAGAAATACAATATGCTTTAAGGGCTAAAAATATTGAAATGAATCCTGATGACTGCCTTAAGAGAGCTCTGCTTTTTCCTTTGCTCGAAATTGATCCTCCAAAAACGTCCTTATTTATTCTTGTCGATTCTATCGACGAACATTCCTTCAATTATTCAAATTCTACCCTAACGAAATCAAAACCCCGCGAGAGATCGTCACAATCACGAACAATTGCCGAGTTGTTGGCCAATCATCATCACCTGTTTCCTCAGTGGCTGCTTCTTGTTTGTACTGCTCGTAAACAGTCGAAGAGTATAGCAAAAATGTTCACAGGATTTAGGAAACTGAGTTTGGATGATTTGAGAAAAACACAGGTAGTTAGAGACGTTCAACAGTACATTTTGGCTCGTCTTGATCAGGAAAACAGTTTGAGACAGCATATCAGCAGGGATACTGCCGAAATGCTGAATCAGTTGCATATAAAAAGTAATGGGTGCTTTTTGTACTTGGAAAAGGTGTTGGATGGCGTGTCGGAAAATTTTATTGTCTTACGAGAAGTTAGGGAAATACCGGGAACACTCAATGGCCTCTATCTTTGGCTTAGCCAAAGGTTATTTAATCGACGACAGTTCGCAAAAGTTCAACCGTTATTAAACGTTATCTTGGCCGCAAAATGTGCAGTAACAGAAGACCTATTGTATGATATAATAAAAGTTTATTATCCAAAAATCAGTCACGAAGATTTTAGGAAGAGATTTCACCTTTTAAAGAGAATTTTAGTTATTTCAAAAAGCGGCACCATCCGATTATTCCATCATTCTTTTGCTGAATGGCTTTTAGACATAAAACATTGTACACAAAAATATTTGTGTAATATTTTCCGTGGCCATTGTGTACTTGCGATTTACTACACATACCAAGCAAAATATCTAAATAATCAAGAAATATATGATTACGTTTTTCATCTTACACGTATGGAACAGTATTTAAGTGAAGAACCGATACAGAAAAGTTCTAGTGTTATATATAAATTGACAAAAGAACATAAGAATCAAGCATATGAAGAAAGCACACTGGAAAAAACAGAATCTGAGGTTTATTCAGATTTAAAGGCGTTGCAGAACTTAAACTTGTATGAAAACAATTGTGACAAAAATCTGAGCTATACTCTAGATAACACGCATTCCCAAACGATGGATACCAGTTTTATTGGAACCGATTTGAGTCCTCAGCAGAACAATTTAAACGTTGAATCTAAGACGAAAACTGACGATAGTATTAGCAGAAGGCAGTATGAAAATATCAAAAGCCCGACATCTCCTATCTACGGAGTTATCAACAAAAATAGATTAAAGCTGGAACCACAGAAATCATTTCCGAGCTCAGGAAAGGGTTATCCGGAAAATTATGAAAACTTGAATAATTTAAACGCCACTGAAAAGCCTAATATAACTGAAATAATTCCCAAAAATAATCTGGATAACCACACGTTGACGTTATTATGGTTAATTCTAAGTGGAGCTAATGTCGAAGAATGTCTTTTAGAAGGAAACGAAATGGCTGGAGTTAATTTTGGTGCATTTTTACCTACTGATCAAAAGGTCTTGAAATTATTACTTGAAGCCGGAGCTGTGGAACAGTCCGATCCAGATGACGGAGAGTATGAAAGTCAGGTTGTAAATTAGTTAAAGTTAATTACAATCAAATTTAATGGTTGCAAATTTTAGCTTTCCTTGGCTACGTCATCAACAGAACCGAGTCCAGAGCCCCTGTTTGAGCTTCAAGATATTCACGGACAAGCGGCCTTACATGTAGCAGCTAGAATGGGGCAAGTTCAGGTGATTAAAATGTTTTTGGAAACTTCCGCTGATGTTAATAAAGCAGATGTGGACGGTTGGACACCTCTTAGGGCGGCTGCATGGGGTGGACACACCGAAGTGGTGGAATTGCTGGTGAAGCATGGTTGTGATTTGGACAGCGTAGATTCCGAGAATAGAACAGCCCTTAGAGCAGCAGCGTGGTCTGGGCACGAAGAGATTGTTAAGATTTTATTAGAACATGGAGCTAATGTGAACTTAACTGATCATGAAGGTAAATTGTTTGAATAATAAATCCATGCCATTTTAATAAGGTTATTCGTTTAAGAATTATTGTACAATTAATTTTTGGTCTTATATATATTTTTAACGTTTTTTTGCATGGAAGTTTTTTAGTTGGTCATAAAAGAATTATTACTATTTACACATGAAGTAATTAAACGTGAAGAGAAGACGTTTAATTGTAACTGTTATAAGTTTTTCTTGTAATTCATTTAATTACTATCTTTATGAGTTTTCTCATATTTATCCGTCGTCGTTTATATTTTATGAATAATTCATAAGTGTATTAAATAATCAAATATGTATACAGCATAATTTTTTTGCAAGGTCGTACAGCATTAATAGCGGCTGCTTATATGGGTCATGCTGAAATAGTAGAGCACTTATTGGATCATGGAGCAGATATTAACCACGCAGACGCAGATGGACGAACTGCATTGTCTGTAGCCGCACTTTGTGCTCCTCGAATGCCCGGAGCAAGTGTGGTTTCAACACTTCTCGAAAGGGGCGCTGCTGTCGATCACAAGGATAAAGAAGGCATGACACCCCTTTTGGTTGCATCTTTTGAAGGCCACAAGTAAGATATATGTTATGATATTAAGCATGGTATAAATACTAGTAATTTGTGAATTCACAAGAGGTCGTCAATTTCTGTAAAAACTGTATAATTTATAGCAATCGGCGGTATGAATAAAATGTTATTGAGATTAAATGCAAAAACTCGCAAGTTCATTTGATTTCTTTGTATTTATATATTTATTTATTGCAGAGATGTATGTGAACTTCTGTTGGAAAATGAAGCAGATGTGGACCACTGCGACAATGGTGGTAGAAGCCCGTTATGGGCTGCGGCCAGTATGGGCCATGCACCGGTTGTTGCCCTTTTACTTTTCTGGGGCTGTTGTATAGATTCGATGGATTCTGAAGGGCGAACGGTTTTATCTGTGGCAGCAGCTCAAGGTATTCATAGAAAATATTAATGGTTACGTTTTATTAATATTTCTATTTGGACGAATCATTAGGATGTGTTGAAGTTGTCAAACAATTATTGGATAGAGGATTGGACGAACAACATCGAGATAATTCGGGTTGGACACCACTACATTATGCTGCTTTTGAAGGTATTTCGTTATCATTTTTGTTTCACAAAATTTTATTTTATCTTAATAGACAAGAAAAATAAATTAGTAAATCAATTTATTACTTATAATATACTTTCTTCGTAAATTTTGTGCAGGACACCAAGACGTGTGCGAAGCACTTTTGGAAGCTGGAGCAAGAATAGATGAAGTAGATAACGAGGGCAAAGCCCCCCTTGTGTTGGCAGCCCAGGGGGGGCATACGTCTTTAGTTAATTTGTTTTTAGAAAAGTATGGCGCTCCTTGTGATCAAAGGCCTCATGATGGCAAAACTGCACTTAGGTGAGACAAAGTATGCTGTAGATAACATTTTAAAATGTTTAGAACGTTTTACTTAGAATATATGTCTCTTGTTGAACATTATTATATAATAAATAATAGGCCGTATATTCAATACTAACCTACTGTGATACTTCATAATTAATATTGTAAGTAAAATATTTTGTTTGGTAGACTAGCGGCTTTAGAAGGGCATTACGATGTGGTTCATCTTCTTTTGTCCCATGGGGCCGATATAGACTTCAAGGACGCTGATGGTCGTAGCACGCTTTACGTTTTAGCACTCGATAATAGATTGGCCATGGCGAAGTATTTGATTCAACAAGGAGCAGATGTTGAAACTCGTGATTTAGAGGTATGATATTTTAGTTTACATTATTAGTTTCAATGAACACTTTTTGAAAACCAAAAATTCCCATTTAAAATAGAATCTTCTACTACTTATCTTTTATTTTATTAACCACTTTCTAAAATGTACATCAATGTAAAGTAGAATTAAAAAAGATTTTGAATTCATACTGCAAGGAAGTTCATAATGCACTTCTTCGCAAAATTTATTATCCTAAATAGTTATTAAATTATACATACATGCAATAATAGTAAGTTATATCCCATAGAAAGATGGGAAGGACAACAATAACTAAATTAATTTGAAGTAAAAAGGTATATTCGAAAAAAATTTAGGTAAAAAAAAATTTTTTTCGTGCTTTCTATGTAATTGTTTATTTATAATATCCATTAACTAAACGTTCATTCAGCATTCTTTGGATAACTTGATTAATAATTAGCCATTTAATTTCTAATCATGTAACTAAAAATAAAAATGATTAGATATAGATGCCATTTTTATACACCTATTGTCCCTAGATCTTGATGGTGCTTTTTAGATTCTATTAAATATGAACATTTTAGTATAATTATACATATTCAGTTTAGTTGGAAGATAGGTACCGTTAAATGGTATGTACCTATTGTTTTCTTATAAATTGTTCATTAGGGTCGGACACCTTTACATGTGTCAGCTTGGCAAGGTCATACGGAAATGGTCGGCCTCCTTTTAAAATGTGGTCATGCTCAGGTGGATGCGGTTGATCTAGAAAATAGAACCGCCTTGCATTCTGCCAGCTGGCAGGGCCATCATGATATTGTCAAGACACTTCTGGAACACGCAGCAAATCCTGATCACACCTGCAATCAAGGAGCGACAGCTTTATGTGAGTTTTTTCATTTTCTGTTTTTATGCGCTCGTTAATTAGATGAAAAGTTTTTACTTTTTATACTTAAGTATCACCCTATGTTGCATATCTTATGTTACAATATACCGTCTTATATTGAAGATATTGTTTTTCATTATTAAACTAACAAATTAAAACGTTGAGGTAGCGTTATAGTTTTCACCTACAAAGCTAATTTTTCAGGCATAGCCGCTCAGGAGGGTCACGAGTTGTGTGTAGTAGCTTTATTGGAACACGGGGCTGATCCCAACCATTCAGATGCTTGTGGGAGGAACGCGTTACGGGTTGCAGTAAAATCGGGACATCGAGGGGTAGTTAGACTTTTAGAAGAGTATAATATGAGGTCCCAGAAACTGGCTCATACCAGTAGTAGTGCCAATTCATTTACATCAGGTCAGTGCTTTTTAATGTTAAACTATCCTTTACTGCTCTTACAATTAGTTTTCAGTTTTGTGAAGTAAGTACAAATAATAATATCAATATAAGAACCACATAAACGTTGCAGTATTGTAGGACATCAGTAGTTATTGCATCGCTATTGATTTTTTCGGGTTTCAGTTGGGTTCGTTTTATTGCGCAGTTCACTTATTCAGTACAGACTTGAGCAGAATAGTTCATAAGATTAAAATAGTAAAATAAATAGTAGCATTATTATTTTAGTATTTATATTGTAGCACATTTTTTGATAAATATTTTTTTGTTTCTTAGGTTCAACAGCTGAAACTAAACCGTCAAATGCTTTATTGTACCCAGTGCCAGGATCTTCAGAGTGGACTGACCAGCAAAGGAGATCAATGGTTTCATTAGGAAACCATAGTTCTAATTCAAAGTCTAGTTCTAATTTAACTGGTTCCAGCCATTCTAGTAAACATGGGGACAGACAAAGGGAAACACCACAAACTTCACAGGTATTGTTATAAAAAAACACACACATTTCTTTTGTATTTTAAATGATTATACTTACTTATACATACTGTTAAGAGGAAAATAGAAATGTGCCTTTTTGCGTCCGTAATGAAAGGCGGGCCTGACGGCTGACATCTATTCGTCAAAGATACTATTAATTTTATTAATGAATTGTCATCGCATCCATCATAAACGTGTGTATTTTGTTGGTCATTTGTGGAATTGCTTCTACGTAGGCGCTTTTCGGCACGAAATTTAGAATAGGAGTGTGAAGTCGTAGCAGTTTAGTATCCATGAGGCACAGTTGAGATTTGATCTATAGCTAAACAATTGAAATGCGTACTTCGTATACGCAGTATACAGTTCAGTGGGCTAAACAACCATCGACGAAATTATTGGATTAAATAAGGCTACGGCGTGGAGTTAACCTGATTCACATGTGTGAATTGTTGTACATCTTGATCTTACCTTATGTTATTATGACAGGGAGTTTCCTGATTGGATTGTGTGAAGTGCTATGCCGTGTTGTTAGATTCTGGTAATAGAGACTCCCTGATTGGTTTGCATGAAGTGCTATTCACCAAAGGTTTAAGCTAGAATACGGTGGAAAAGGTTTCCCTGATTAACATGAGTGCAGTCATATGCACTATGTGCATAGATTAGGTTATGGTGAGAGAAGATTCGTTTTTGTAATGTGCTCTGGAGCAAAAATTATGGCTAGCATATGGTGGAAAAGTTATGTGATTTCTTGATTGGCTTATGTAAACCGCTATTCAACAGGGATAAGTGCTATGTACCATCGGTTACGGTATCATCCGTTTAAACTTGGACTGGTATAACTTGTTTGTTGTATTTCATGAAAATTAAACACATTTTTGGACATAACTATGAAGCAGCGTCTTATTTATTTTATTTTTATTATTTTCAGCCTTTGTCGTTTACCCAACAGCTTCAGCAATGTACTAGAGGAGGTAAAACACGGCCGTTAAGCAAATTGTTGTCACCATTACAAAGCGAACCTCAAAGTCCAATCTATGCATCTCCTCCTTTAAGTCCTGTTCACGATGCTCCAAGTATGTTTGGTAAGATAAGACAGTTTCATAATAAACTGCTTGCCATTTCATCTAATTTAGAATTTAAAATGCTAACAATTTAGTTTAAAATTTCCTTTTAATTAACGAATACCATTGTGTCACTATAGGTGCCATGAATATTTATCAGCCAGTGTTGCGACATAGCAATATATTTTCCCAAGCTCCTGACACTCACTTTGCCCGAGACACTCACATGAGGATAATTTTGGGAAATTCTGCCGCGCCTGTTAGTTCGAAATCGGATAAAAAGAACAGTCAGGGGCAAGATAGCAATAACGGAAATCAGAGGTAATTGCCACCCCAATAAAAACAACATCTCCATGCTTATCAATTAATAAATTAGTATACTTAGTTTCAATATTCCTAAAATTACTTCCATTTATTTATATTGGATAGATTGTTGAATAGAATTGTTATCGCAGCCCTTTCGAAAAAGAGATTCCAACGGAAAACTAAAGGATCACTTCTTAACATTTGGGTTGGCTGTGAAAGTTTGAGTTAGTACAATTTTGATATTTACGAAAATATTATTACCGTTTATCAACTCCACTTTTATGATTAGATGTAGAACATTTAAACATATGCGCTTGTGCGAGTTGTGGATCTTTATAGGGGGTATAAAATGTTCCATAAGCACTTTCTTAAATTTCAAACAATTTTTAAATACGTATTTTAATTACCTTTACAGTCCTTCAACATAAACTTATTTTAAGTTATACTACTAAAACTTTTATCTTACCTGTCAACTTTCTCTCAGATCCTATTAATTTTATTTCAGCAATCAGAAGCCTAAGAGAAATGGAATTGTAACGAATCCAGCTCTAAGGTTGGTCGCAAACGTAAAAAACGGTTTGGATACAGCTGCTGCCAATTTGAGAAAATCAGCTTCAGGTGCCAATCCAAGCACTAAAACGAACAGTTTCCATTGGAGAAAGGAAACGCCCTTGTAAAAATTGTAACATTATTTAAACGAAATTACTAGTCAATATAACGGTAAGTACAGTACTTCCTTTTTCGTTTTGTCCAAAAGACTAGGGTTGATGCGGCGCAAAGTAGTAATTTTTAATTAAGAACAGCCTTTAAAAGAAACGTACACGTCCGCCTTTAAAATAGATCCTTCGAGCATATTATTGTAGCAATATTGTTTTTTAAAAGCGATATATTAGCAATATGTTTGTGAAAAAAATTATGGTTAGAATGTATTGTTTACTATATACAACTATTATTAAAAAATTAACGATCAGATGGTTTGATGATGACGATGAACATAAGAGTGATTATCGGATTTCAAATATTACAAGTGAAATACGAGATGCTTGTGTAAAGTGATCGCATGTGTGAATACATGCACACCACAGATTAGAAGTATACACAATATCTACGTATTATCCATCTCAGGAATGAATGAACTTGCGTCATTATAGGTGGAGCAAAGAAAAAAATGTTGATTCGTACGCTCTTAGGTACTAGTAACTAAGTAACTTAGCTAATATGATTCAGCAGTGATTAGTGGCGTATAGCGCTATCCTTTTTCAATGCTACGTTTTTCGAATTATGCTCTACAGTCGTATGTCATTTACTAGTTCACTATTCTCTTGTATGTCTGTCTTTACTTCTGTTAATCGATTTATGAAAGAATAGTGTACATGAAGTTTCGCTGATAGATCCATACCCGTTCATTCTTTCATGGGATTGATAATATCTAACAAAACCATCTGTTGTATTTTTGACATTATAACCAATCTTCAACCTGTTTCAGTTAAAGAAGTCGTCAGCATATAGGTTCTCTTTGAATTTTATATCCGTTTTTAACCATATTTCTAATTCTGTTTCTTTGCATAATAGTCATTTTAAAGTGTAGTTTAATCAATTATAAGATACAAGGTGGTACTTATCCACCTACAGGCCGCTAAATATAGGAATCTCGGTAGTCTCCTTTAATTTTAAAAAGGGAAAACTTTAAAAGAGACGCCCACCCCTGTCCTCTGTCCTACAATTTATAAAGACTAAAAAGTTTCCACAAAACTTATCGGTAGATTTTCATTAACCGTTAGTACATTTTTCTTTAACTTCATCTTTCAAAAAAGTTTCCACAAACAAGAATTACAATGAATTGTTGAATCTTCTTTTTCAGATAAATTGAAGCTACCATCACCACCACGATTTAATTACTAACTAATAACGTTAACACTAGTCTTATGGAAGTCAAAGATTATTTGCGTTTTATGACGTAGATTCGTGTATAGGGAATAAAAGTAATTGTTTTTATGAAGCGACTTTTGGCCTATATATTTTCATGTTTGACAGATACAAGATTAGCAGAGAGAAATATCAACAGTTATTCTTTGATTGCCTAATTG